CTTCTTCTTCTTACCCCCCTTCTTCTTCCTCCCCTTCTTCTTCTTCCTCCCCCTTCTTCCTCCTCCTTCTTCTTCTTACCCCCCTCTTCTTCTTCTTACTCCCCCCTCTTCTTCTTCTTACTCCCCCCTCTTCTTCTTCTTACTCCCCACTCTTTTTCTTACTCACCCCTTCTTCTTCTTCTTTCCCCCCTCTTTTTCTTATCTCCTCCTACTCCCCCTCCCCTCTTCTTATTCCCTCCCTCTTCTTATCCTCCTCCCTTTTATTCCCTCTTCTTATTCCTCCCTCCTTTCTTTTTCTACTCTCTTTCCCTTCTGCCCTCAGAAGTTTCGGCTACGCTTACAGGGAAGGGGGAAGGTGAGGGGGTAGTGGGAAGGGTGGTGCCGCTCTTGAGTTTTAACAGAGCGCCAGGCGTAAGCGTGTATTGAAAGGGCCGCTCCTGGGGGTACTGCCTCGCCCAGCCTCCGCCTCTGCCAAGCGCCGCACAGCAGACCCAGGTGTCTGCCCGGCCCCAGGAGCCGACGGCCCACCGGGAAATTTCCCGGTATCCCGGTGGGCCAGTCCGGCCCTGGTGCGCTTACTTCTACTTGTTATCTATTAGAACTGTTACATACTTCACTTTCAGCTCTCCATTTCTCCCTTGTTTTTATTACATATACTCCAAGGACCCCCCTGGTCGCTACCCCTCTTCCTGTGCTTTTAACATTAGGCTTCCACCTACAGCCCAGGGGATTGACCAGGGACCCACTTTGATGAAGATATTTGGCTACATTTGGTGCCATTCACCATATTTATATAGGCATGAAAGGGGGTCTTTGGGTCCCCCCACCCTCAGGGTCCCACTCCCACCTGGCTCAAGAGGGCTTAAGGAGTTAAACACTTACCTTTCTCCAGCGCCGGGCTCCCTCGGCGCTGAGGAACTGCGCGTGCATTCAATCAGTCCATAGGAAAGCATTTCTCAATGCAATATGGATGTCAGCGTCTTCTCACTGTGATTTTCACAGTGAGAAGGGCAGAAGCAGAAGTCAATGAGACAGTCACTAGAGACTGGATTAACCCTAATGTAAACATAGCAGTTTCTGTGAAACTTATGTTTACAGCTGCAGGGTTAACCCTAGATGGACCTGGCACCCAGACCACTTAATTGAGCTGAATTGGTCTGGGTGCCTATAGTGGTCCTTTAAAACATGTATCTCTTCTTATAGGGGTTTTGCCAAGTGTGTGAAACATATTGAACTGAAATCTGAATGACAAAATTCAGAAAAAAAAAAAAGCAGATTTGGAAAAATGTGCCAACTCAGTTATAATCATAGCTTGGCTAGTCGATTTTGCTACAATCTGAAGTTTAGTGAATACAACCCATAGACTAATTTGAACTCTTGAAAGGCCTGGCCTACAAAGAGACCTCACAAAGTTTAATGTTCAGGGTCAGGGGAGTTTCAATCACTTTTATTTTAGTCCAAAGACAAGCTGATAATTATCAGATTTTCACCCTATGATTCCTAACTCGGAGCAAGCTTAGGGGAAAATCAGGTTTGATGAATAAAGCTTTTGTATATTTTCTTTTTTAACGTTTAAACTGTTTTGTAATTGGAGCACCAGAGAACAGGGTTAATTATCAGATTTGCCATCCATTACACAAACGTTCTGTGTCAGTCACATTGATGAGTGCAATAAAAAAAATATATTAAAATACTGCTGAAAAGTTTAAAAGAGTTGCTTTCCAAACTACATAACTGAAAACCATGCCTGTTTCATAAAAGGGATTTATTTTTTTATTTTATAGGAGCCCATTTTCCAGTAATTAAGATAATTCAATATGCCTGACTGAAAGAAAAAAGTCAATTGCTTTAATTTCCAATGTATTTAATTTCTCTAAATAACTTATTTTTCAAAGTATCTCTAAAACCTAAAGACTCAGTAATGACAAAGGGGCTTATTCACTAAGTACCAAACAGTAGAAAACACCAAAACAAAAAGGCAAAATTTAAGATAAATTTTTATAAAAAATAAAAATCTAAATGAACTACAAAATTTAAACTAAAATAGCCCAACTGAATTCTTACAATTTTAAATTAAGTTTAAATGTAGTGAAAGTAACCCTAAACCAATATAACAGTATATTGTATGAAAGTATATATATTATATACATTACAAAAGAATTTCCAAGGTAATTCCGACAGCAACTGTGCATTCGTATACATATGAGAATTTATGCATGTGGATCGGCTTTCAGTCACTTGCATTTTTCATCAGAAATCAAGCGATGAGATGTCACTTTACAGAATGTTAAATGCAGATCTTTGCTACACATTACTCCAAATAAATATAAAAAGAGAACACAAAGATGGCACTAACTAGTGCAGATAAACATATTTTAGGAGATATTTATATTTTTATATATATATATATACACATACATTCATACATACAGTATATGTATATATACTGATCAGTCACAACATTAAAGGACCACTCTAGGCACCCAGACCACTTCAGCTTAATGAAGTGGTCTGGGTGCCAGGTTCAGCTAGGCTTAACCCATTCTTTTATAAACATAGCAGTTTCAGAGAAACTGCTATGTTTATGAATGGGTTAAGCCTTCCCCCAAATCCTCTAGTGGCTGTCTCATTGACAGCCGCTAGAGGCGCTTGCGTGATTCAGTGAGAGCATGCAAGCGTCCATAGGAAAGCATTGATAATGCTTTCCTATGCGACCGGCTGAATGCGCGCGCAGCTCTTGCCGCGCGTGCGCATTCAGCCGACGGGGAGGAACGGAGGAGGATCGGAGGCAGAGAGCTCCCCGCCCAGCACTGGAAAAAGGTAAGTTTTTGCCCCTTTCCCCCTTCCAGAGCCGGGCGGGAGGGGGACCCTGAGGGTGGGGGCACCCTCAGGGCACTATAGTGCCAGGAAATCGAGTATGTTTTCCTGGCACTATAGTGGTCCTTTAAAACCGCTGTCAAGTGAAAAACATTAAAAGGACCACTATAATCACCCAGGTTTTAACCCTGCAACCGTAAACATACCAGTTTCAGAGAAACCACTATGTTTACATTGCAGGGTTGATTATACGTGAATAGAAAAGTGGAGGGCAAAATGTGTGCAGTGGTTTAATAAATCAAAAACAAAAAAACTGAAATTGACATAAGAGAACTTTGTGTTAATAATTCAGTAATTCAGTTACTAACACTGTGAAAATGTGCCCAGGTGATTGCCGATTAGGTAGGTAAAGTGAGTAAATTGAGCTCAAAATGATTAATATACTCTTGTGATACCGGTTACTAAAAGTATACAGAAGAAAAACGATTCAGTATTTTAAATGACCCAGTATGCTAAAATAGCTCCAGATATTTAATGGCTGTTTCGAAGCATGCATGAGACTTGACGTACTAATCGTTTTTTAAAACAAATATAAATATATAAATAGATATACGTGAGAAAGGCTGCAAAGGAGGTGGTCAATATACATGAATGTCATGACCTCTGTAACTTATTTACCAATGTGCGAGGGTACATAACACAAAATATCGACTTGTGGATAACCAGACACATGTTTGGAGCAACTGGGCATTGTCACAGAGAGGCATATTATAAATCCAAACAGTGAGGATGTGCAGAGTGACTGAAATGAACACTTAACATCATATACCATTGTACAGCGCTACGGAATTTGTTGGCGCTATATCGCTATATGAATAATAAAATAATAATAATAATAATAATATAACATCATATAAAAGAGTGAATGGCATGCCCCAAACAAACTCTGGCATACTGATTAAGTAGTGAGGCGGGCATACTTCATACCCCATAGCACTCGAGACTGCTACTTACAGCAATTGCCAAATAAACGTAATAAATTGTATAGTGATAAACTGTAAGTGTAAAAGTTACTGTGGATGAGAGGGTTTTGTTGTTCGTTATGAACAGTGTCCCCTTAATTCCCTTACTTCTGATAGAACGGTAATTGTATGTCCAACTAAAAGCTACCCGGCCACTTGTAGTACTACAAAGTATTGTGTACTGATTAGGCGAAATAGAACCATGTAACATAAAACTATATACTATTACTTCCAATAACAATACAATGTATCATACTATCCAAGTATACTGTATGATTCTGGCGATAACGATAAAGTAAATATATCGAAGTTTGCTGTAAAGTCAGACTGTGGCTCAAGTAGCAGGTAGCTGAGAACAATACCTCTCCGAGCTGGATTCTGCATGAAAAGAAAATGATATGGCTAAGAATCAACAAAACAATGATATTAAAAGAATAGTTACAGCGAATTGATAAACATCAGTATTAATACGATACAAGTGATCTTAGCCTGAGAATAAGGTTATACTGCTTTTCATTGGTAGCACACAAGAACTGTAATTATGAAAATATGTATTTCTTTTTTCTTTTTTCAGTTATCACCCATACTATACAAAAAGACAACTTGTGGGGGCGTGTCCTGGAAGTGGAACACGGCCTTCAAACAAGCAATTTTGGCTTTTAAGCTCCAAAAAACGACAACAACATATCTCTTACCATTATGTCCCAACCCAAGAGCAAGAGAAACGTAGAAAAAGGGGACAAATTAAATTTTTTCACCTCCTGGGCGGCGCAAGGAAAAAGTGCTGTACCGCCCAAGATGGCGCGACGAAGACCTTGAGCAGTCCCAAAAATTTCCAGAGATGGATATCTCACTCACAAAAGAGGTAATGAAAGCTATGGTGGATGACATGTCGGCTAAGCTGCTTGGGAACTTCAAGACCTCAATCAATGACCTGCGCAAAGATCTTCAGGACTTAAGCGCTAGGACTTCAACCATGGAGGATAATATAGCGGAATTTGCCAAAGCCCACAACAACTTGGCAGGTAAGGTGGAGGGGATCATAACCCAAATGGATTCTTACGAGATTAAGCTGGCGGATATTGAGGATAGTGATGTCGCGAACCGTTCGCGAACTTGCCGCGAACGGTTCGCCACGAACCGTTCGTGGCGTACTCCGGTCAGCTGACACATCCCTGCCAATCTCCGGCAGACCCTCCCTCCCAGACCCTCCTACTTCCTGGACAGCATCCATGTTGAAGGCAGCTGCAACATGGATGCTGTCCAGGAGGTGGGAGGGTCTGGGAGGGAGGGTCTGCCGGAGATTGGCAGGGATGTGTCAGCTGACCGGAGTTCGTGGCGAACGGTTCGTGGCGAACCGCGGCGAACCGTTCACGGCAAGTTCGCGAACGGTTCGCGACATCACTAATTGACGATAGAACCAGCCAAAATAATCTCCAGATATGCAGAGTTAAAGAATCCGTGGGGCAGAATGAAATGGCAGCATACATTAATGGCCTACTAAAAATCTTGGCACCAGACTTACCTCAAGACCTTCTTTTACTGGATTGATGCCTACGTACAGCCAGACTGCAATTCCTGCCTTCTGACACTCCACGGGATATCCTCGTCCGACTGCAATTTTATCATGCAATATTGATGACGCTCTGAGTCAAATTGCATGGCATGGGAAGGGAAGCACAGTCTGTGTGGAACCTTGCTGGTTGAAGATGGAATTTTTTTTATAATTCGACAGGACATTATGGATTTTTATTTCCCCCTTTTTGGGCCAGGAGAAAGCAAACTGAAGAAAAAAATAAGACATTTAATGGTAGGTGTTAATGCTTTTATTTTACAGGTATTTAGTTTATTGCTCCTTTACTGTTATAAGGATGAGGGGGTAGGTAGGGTATATGTTTATTGATGGGTGAGTAGGAGCTTGGGGACTCCTAATCAAGGGGGACCCCTAATCACTGGCGGGGTGAGTTTTTTTTTTTGCAATTAGGCCCCACCACTACCAATCAGTGATTGCTGGGGGACAATTGGTTTCCACCATTAGCAATTAGGGCTTTTATCCGTCGCTAATGGGTGGGAGTTGGAGGAGGCAATATGTATAATATATATCACTTAGGGCCCCCATCAGCACTTAGGGCCTGGACCCACCACTGATGGGTGGGGGCTTGGGCAAAACTAGGCCCCCTGTTTACTTTATCAGTCTCACCCTTGCTAATTATTTTAACAGGTGCCCCACCGTGGGAGCATGGAAAAACTGTGTCAAGTCCCCCTTAATTGGATGGTGGGTCTTTTTGTTACAACAGTGAGGAGCCACTGGGGGGGTTTAAGAAGTGGCGGAAGCACATATTACAAGGAGGGAGCCACAAGCCAAGAGCCCCTTCTTTGCAATAAGCGAATGCATGAAGAGCAAATTGCAATTCGGTCTTGTTTCGTTTGTTGTAATTTGTATTTGTTTATTTGTCTTTCTGACTACTAGACGAATAGCTGAAATTCAGTCTGAAATTCGGACAATAGAGAATGCCAAGGTTTCAAATTGGCATGCGTGCAAATTTCACAGACCGAGCTAGTGTGGGCAGGTGACATGTCCCGCAGGGCCTTCCTCTGGGAACACTAAAATTGGTGGCGCCTAGGAAATAGATCCGGTGAAGAAATAAAGAGGTAAGAAAAGGTGAATTGGGGACCTAGAGGCATTTAGGGGCAACTAGCAGGACAATCAAATGTAGAGGAGTCGGGAGGAGGGGGATTGAAAAAAAATGGATGTGGCCATGACCGTGTCACTTTAAATGTTGTGCTGTAGTTGATAACAGGCTTGACCACCTAATCCAAAATAGCAGAAGAGGGCAAATACATGTTGTTTTTTTCTAATTTGTCTGGGATTGGTTGCCAGCTGGTTGTCAACCCACTAAAATTTGCTGTCTAGTGACTAAACCCTATATCTGGAATGAAAATGGGCAGCAAGGGGAATTTAAAAGGAGACAAATATTTTGTAGCCAAACCTTAAGTATCAACCACTTAGTTGTATTTTGCTTGAAACCTCTACGCCAGGGTAACCAATGTTACTAAATCAACAAATATTTGGAGCTATGTAACACCTTTCACTGAAAGTCTACGAGAATGTTTTTTGAAGCAGGCTCCAGCCTATCAGGTGACTTGTGCTTTCTGAAAACAAGCTCTGTTTATATTTCTCTAGTCAGTAGGAAATAAACTGCCGGCTTTTTGGCAACACAAAAAAAAACTACAATAAATTTTAAGTAATACTGATCCAAAAAAAGGCTTGTTGTTAAAGAAGAAATATAATTCAGCCACATCACTTTAATTACATTTTTAAATAGATCTGATGTCACGGGAGAATGCTACCTAACAATTTAATAATCTTTTTGAAAGATAAAATACATTTGAGTATTATGGTAATAAATAAATAAATAAATAAAAGCAGCCAATTATACCAAATTCTATAAACTTCATATTTAATGGTGCCAGGCATGCATCTTAACGAAATTCAAAAAATGTACTATTCTACTGTCCATCTACTGAAATTCTCCAGATTCTGGTCTTGTCTTCACAATGTCCATATCCCATTTTTTGGCCAGCAGTAAATTGCTGCAACTAATATTAAAAGATTGAAGGGAGATGGGTTTGGGGGATTTTCTGGCTCCACAATGGACTTGGAGATTTGTTTCAGACTGAACTGCAATTCATTGGAATCTGAGCTGATTGGGTGGCCGGTTGAATTCCTGAACTCCAAGCACAAATGAACCCAAATTACGAACCAGCCGAAACATGCAATGACCAAGCATGTTCTTTTTGATTTGTGATTCTGAATTGCGCCATAGCACCAAAATCATGGTTGAAGGAATAAAAGATGATCATGGTTCAGGGACTTTTACTAAATGTTATTATTTTTTGCCCAGATTAAGTGAACAGTGAGAGGAGAGGGGGAAAAAGAAGGGGTAGTGTACAAAAAAGTAATCAGTCAATATATTAACAAGCAGGATTCTTTCAGACACTTTGATTTCAGCTATTGAGGAAGACAGACTATTAGTGATTGTGTATTTTACCAATAGAGAGAAAGGAGGATCAGTAAAAAATAAATAAATAAATAATATATAAATCTATAACATAAATATAGAAATATAGTTTTTTTTTACTATTCCTTTCCTTTTTCCCCTCTATTGGTTACGTTGTCTCATTTGAACTGTGAACCAAATGGTGGGATTGCTCCTACCAGTCCAGTGCAAAATATATTCATATATACACAGCAGTGCAATGCTTCTTTGTGCACCTTTTGCTTCATCGGCTTGATCGCCTGAATCAGTTTTTTGGTACCAAAATTCCACCATTCCAAACTGAAATATGGCTGAAATTCGGAAATCCAGAAAACAAAAACAAAAAAAACAACCTTTTTTTTTAGAAACTGGTCCAGTCAAACTGATTTTTTTTCTCCATGCACGAGTGTACTCTGCAACTTAGGGAGCATCGATGCTAATGGTGTTTAGGTGTCCGTTTAAACTTGAGTCAAGTTCATAGCCAGGGTGAAAACTGAAATGTAGCACAAGATAATAGCAGGAAACCACATGGAAATTGGTGGTATACGAGTTACTAATTTGACAGGTAATAATGAAGCATGCCAACCATTGCATATTGAAATGATGAGATTTGTACCACTGAAATGCTCCTTCTTCATACCTTCTCCCAGATATGATATCTTCCAAATTATGGGAATTATGAGTTTCAAAGAAAAGCTTTAGGTCAACTAAATTCAACTGGTTCCTTTATTTGCATCATTTTAACAATTTCATCCTTCTACAGCGAAGACGCTCATCTGGGATGTCAAGATATTGTTGATCCTTCACACTTAGTATAGGACAGTTCAATACAAGATAGGACAATTATAGAACAAGATTTACTGGTTCTTAGAGAAGCGAGGTAAGGGTCCCCAGAAGGAGTGAAAATGACTGGTCATATTCTATCCAAAGATTCTGAAACCGTAAAGACAACAACTGATAGAAAAAGAGAATTTAATAAACTTGGCACAAAGCCAGGTCAAAACCAAAAATCACTGGAATTCAGGTATGAGAAACCTTGAAATATAAAATTAACCAGGTGTGAGCTGAGATTAAATAGGCCAGTTTCCTACCATTATCAGTCTGAAAATGAAAGCAGGGGATGGGAGGGTGGAACAGGGCTGTATGGAGTTTTGTCAACAAAGGACACAGAGTTCCAGCGCCTTGCATCACTAGGGCCACTTATGACTTGGATAATACTGTGAATATTGTGACATTGGAAAAGAAACTACAGACATCTGCAGAAACTATAGAGACGTATTAACATGTTAATCCTGATTGTATTATGATTGCCGAAATAATTTATGTAGGATTCAATCAGAACTGAATAATAGCATGGAACAATACCAGAGAAAGAATAACAGCAGGGGAATGGTGCCTACGTCAGACTTTATAGCCCAATTAGAAACCAAATTTCAGTCCATCATCCCATCACGCTACACTCCTTTTTAGAACTTTATAAAAATGTTTTATATGAATACTGCAAGTAGAATACAATAACACAATAATTGTGTTACTTAAAGGGACACGCCAGACCTCTAAAGCACTTTAGCTTGCTGAAAAGCTTAATGTGTGAAGAGTGTGTCCTCTTTTTTTCGTTTTGGAAAAAGTGCAGATTTCAATAGAAATTGACGAGTTTTATAAATTAACCTGGTTACACTCCCTTGCTTTTCAAGCAGACAACCAGCCCTGGTTTGGCTAGCTTAATTGCACTGAACTTTGGAGGTAGCAATTGCCGAGAGCACCTGCCTTGCAAAGACTTCTCGTTGAGCTGCAATGGGAAGTCTGTGATTGGACAGTCACAGAAAGTCTGGGCGAGGTTAGAAGGGGAGGGCTTGCAAAGGCAGCAGTCAAGAGATCTGCAGTTTTTGTAAGCTGTTTTTAGATATATCCCCAAAGGAAAAAAGTGCATAATTTAATGCATGCAAGTTTTCATTTGGGGTATATCTACTAAAAAATGATTTTTATTTATTTTTTTATTTGAGCAGTGGAGTGTCCCTTTAATATATTGAGTGCACTCAAGTCCATCGAGTTAGTACTTCTTCACATTGTTAAACTGTACTTCATCTTATAACTATACAGACTTGCAACAGCTCCATCTACTGTCCAGTCAGCCAAACACATTATAAAGCTATACTAAGCACTGGTGCAAATTAAGGACAGCAGATATTATAAAGGGGATCATCACTAGCTATGAAAACTATTTTCCACAAAACAATTGTCAATTGATAATTAAAAGTTCATGGTTTTATTTTACTGTACCCTATTGC